ATAATAAAATATAAAAATAAAAAGAATAACAAAAAAAATATAAAGTAATAGATAAAAAATTGATGTTATAAAATTTTTGTAATTATTAATTAAAAATAATAAAACTTTTTTAAAAAAAAATCTTTTAATCATTATGAGTATTAAAGTTATTTTAATACGTGAAAATGACAAAAGAAGATGTAAAATGATTGACTGTTCAGGGATGAATGAAAAAGAAATAATGGACCATGTTTTAAATGAAATTGGTATTGTAAATGAAGATGAATATTTAATTGAATGGGAGAATAATGAAATAAAAATTGAAATGAAACCAAAAGTTCGTGCTAAAATTTTTGTTCAAAGATTAAAGAATATTTCTGAAAAAGATGAAAGAGAAGATTTAATGAATGATTTAGCATATGCAATGAAAGATGAAGAAGTAGGAGAATTTATTTGTCAATATGGACTAGATGTATTAATAGAGTTATTATATAATGAGATTTCAACAGTAAAAGGATTAACAACATTACGTATTTCTATGGCAAGAGAAAAAATTTTTGATATTATTATTGATGAACAACGATTTACTAATAAGTTATATGAATTAATGGGTGAAGAAGATGTTTCAATTAAATGGCAAGCAGCAGAAATTATTTCAATTATTGTTACATTTGGTGGGATTGATATTGTTAGAAAAGCAGCTAAAGAGTATGCAAGAAAACATGGACAACAAACGTATGAATTACTTTTAAAGATGATGAAAGATAAAACTATGGAAGAAACAGTATTACTTGGAGCATTAGTTATTGGGTCAATTTTTATAGGAAGTAGTGTAGAAAAGAAAAAGTCTATTGCAAAGAAATTAGAAAGTATGGGGTTAAGTAAAACAGTAGAACAAATGACAATAAATTTTCCTAATTCAGAAGATATTAAAACACAAGCAGTAATAATACAAAATAATACTTATTATGCTCAAAAAGTAAAACAAGATAAAGCTAAAAAAGAATTTTTTAGTATTAGTAAAATAGTAGAAGAAGAATCATGTAAAAGAGATCAAATAAGAAATAAATTTAAAACAAATGAAGAAGAAGTTAATGAATTAAGAAATGAATTAGATTCACTTCGTGGAGATATTTTAATATATGAAAATGATATTAAAAGACTTCAAAAAGAAATAATTGATAAAAAGAAAGAATATAAAGAAATGCAATCAAAAGTTCCAACTGAAATTATGGGATATAGTGATGCTGAATTAAGGTCTAAAGTCTTAGATTTAAGAAGAAAAAGAGATAGACTTAAATTTGATGTTCAAGAACTTCATAAACAAAAGAGTGAAATTAATGAAACAAAAGAAGAAATAGCATATTTTGATATGATTCATAAAATGCAAAAAGATAATAAACAAGGAATACCTAAAAAGAAAAATATTCAAAAACAAGTTAAAACTGCACCATTACCATGGCATAAAGTAATTACATTACAAAGAGGAGCAGACACTACTATTTGGGATGAAATGGAAGATTTTGATATTAGAGAAAAAGATACTGAAGGTTTATTAAATAATTTTAATTTTAATGAAGTAATTGAAGACAACGATCCAAATCAAGTTAATTATCCATTACATAAATATCTTGGATTTTCTCTTCTTAAATTACATTTACCTGCAAATAAAATTTTATTACAAAAAATTCAAAGTTTAGATAATACTTTCCCTTTAAAAGATATAGAAGCATTAATTAAATACCTTCCTAATAATGCTGAATATCAAATTATTAAAGGTTCTAAAGGAATTGATATTACTTCAGTTATTGCTGTTCAATTATGTAATGAACCATATTTAACTAATAAATTAACTATATGGTATAAAATTAGATGTATTAATATTGATATTGATAAAGCTACAACAATTATGACTACTATAGCTGATTGTCTTAATACATTACAATCTTCTCAAGAATTATTAATGACTTTGAAAGTTACTTTAAATTTTGGAAATATTCTTAACGCTTCTAGTCCTTTACGTTGTAGAGCTGATGCTTTCTCATTAGAAGCTCTTCTTTTATTAAAAGATGTTCCTGGTCTTTTACAAAATGGACTTAAATTTGTTCTTGGACAAGTAGATCCAGTATTATTATTAGAACAAATAGCAATTTGTAGAGATGCTATTTTTAATACAGAAGATGCTAGAGCACTTCTTCTTAAATCATCAAAAGCATTAGAACCATTAAGTAATGAATTACATGATTTACGTAAAGTATGTAAAGATACTTGTTCACTTAATTTAAAAAATTCAATAGAAACATTAAAACAAACTATTTCTAATGCTTTTAAAGTATCTGAACGATTAGATACTCTTGTAAATTCTGTTACAGAATGGTTTGGGTTAGAATCTTCTGCTTCATTTTTTAAAATTTTTTCAGAATTTGTTAGAGACATTTCGTCGGTAATGGAGTTTGTTTTTATTTTGATTTAATACAATTTTCTTCTTCTAAAATTCTCATTTGTAGTTGTCAACATCTCTCAGAGTATATGGACCTTGAATTGATGCCATTACCTTCTACTAATTATTCTGATCCAGTTGAAAATTATGTTCAACAAATAATATCAGGAGAAAAAGTCCCAAGTCCTATTGATCTTTTTTCTTATTAATATAATTTTAATAAACATCATTAAATTTTGTTATGACTTCTTTGATAGAACTAAAAAAATAAAACTAAAAATTACCTTAACTAATATGTCTTTTATCAAAGACTATACTCCACAACTAAAAGAAATAAACCAATTAAATAATACTGATCAATACAAAGAACTTGAAAAACAATTAGATTATTTAGATAGACATGAACAAATGAAAATACGTCAAAAATCATTATTTAAAACTCATATAAAATATACAAACTGTGTTCAATGTCACAAAACAATACTTTTATCTTTAACAATTAATTGTCAGTTTTGTGGTTTAAATGACATTTGTCTTGATTGTTGTGATATTATAGAATACCACTTTCCTCCTAATAGATTTAATAGTAAACTTGAAAAATATGATATATATTCATGTTCATATTGTTCAACAAAATATAAAAAATATCTCCTTTATAAACAAATCCAATTCGACAGAAAACATTGGAAAGAAAATTTAATATCAAAATATTATAAATCTATATTAAAACTAATTGGTCAATTCGATCAACAACAAACTGAACTCTCTTCTTTACAAAATGAATTTTATAATTATTTCACAAATGATATTTCACTTTTGGAATCAAATTTAATTCATAGAATAGACCTTTGTTCTAATGCTTTACTCTTATTCTGTAAAGATTTAAGATCTCTTCAACAAGTAATGAAAGATCAAAAATTAACCCAACTCAATACAAGAGAAAAAGATGTATTTACTTCTATAAAATGTCTTCTTCAATTAAAAATGAATGATGTCCTTATTGCTGAAAATGAAGTTGCTGTTTGGTTTTTTTTATCTTTATTTCATGTAACAGAATAAATTCATTAAAAGATTCTTCAAAGAACTATTGTACCTTTCAAACCAAAAAAGATTCAGAGTGACCAATGCTTTTATGGATTGAATTCGTTAATTAACTTAATACAACCTTCTTCACATAATCAATTTATTATTTCTCCACGTATTGTAAACTCATTACCACAAATTATCACAATCCAATCTCAGTTGATAACATCTTCTACTAGGTTCTTTATTAAAAACAAAGAATTATATAATAAAATGATTCCAATAACTCCAGGCTATTTTGTGTTTGAATTAACCTCAGGAGTTGGTATGATTCCACTAAGATTTAGAGAACGGTTAACAACATTTGAAATACCTTATGCATTATTTGTTGTTCTTGATGCTAAAAAAACAATAAAGAAATAAAAGTCAAATAAAATATATTTTTAATTTAAATGTTATTGTAAGTACATGAAACAATTACATCTCTCTTTCTTTTTTCAATTTTTCATATTCTTTCTTTGCAACATCATGTAGATCATTATACTTTTTCTTTTCTTGGTCACTTAATCCCTTCCATTTTTCCCCAATGATTTTCATAATTTCTGTGTTTTTTAAAGTTGGATTAGCCTCTACAACACTCTTTCTTACATCTTTAGAATAAAGAAAATAAGCTGATAAAGGTCTTTTAAGTTTCTGAGTAGTGTCAGTTGTTTTGGGTTTAGTGGTTGTCTTTGTTTTATCTTCCATTATATTATTCAATGGACTTTGTTTCTATTATCTCTCTTTAAATACGAAAAAGTTTAGTGAAAGATTATTATCTCGAGATTAAATTATATCGTTACCTTTTCGTTTTTTTGTTGTCATTTAAATAATACAGACAAAATACTAAGATAATTTAAACAAATTCAATGAGCAAAATTTTCAAAGTCTTCAGTGAAAGTCACTGAAATACCTTTCATTTTATAGGGAAGCTGTTTGTTAGGATTTGGTAGAAATTGAAAGTCATCACAACGAGCACCTGCAAGAAATGCTGTTCCATTTTTACGTGAAAATGTATTCATAATTAATGTTTGAAGAGTTCTGTCTGTTAAAATTGGATTTTCTGTTAGAAAATTTAATGATGTTGCTTCAAGAATTCGTTCCATCATCATAAAGTCTTTATTCATTGCTCTTCCTCCTTTACCTTCTAATATAACATCATCATAAAATGGTTCATAATCAAATTGAAAATCTTTTAGTGTAATAACATCTTTCTTACTAAGGAGAAGACCTGTTAATGCATCTGCCTTTATATTAATGTGCATTATTGCTTGAAACTTTGTTAAAATATTATACATCGTTAAATGTGTCATTGAAATTGAGTTAGGAAAATTCATTTTGACTCTATAAATTTCAATTTCATCTAAAAATTTTGTTAGTCCATCAACACCACCTCTAATCCACATACAAAATTTTTGAATCCAAGTCCCACATTCTTTTAGATATGCTTTACCAATACCAAGTAAAGGAATACACTTTAATTGGTCCATAACTTTATTTCTAACAAATTGAACAATTAAGTCACATTCATCCATAACACAAATATTTGTATTTTGTTCAGGTTGATTGGTAACAGTAGTAGCAAAGTCACCAGTAAATAAAATAACAGTTTTTGTAGGATTAGTAATTCTGATTGAGTTTACAATAAATTCATGAACCTCTCTATACGCACAATGAAGGATATGTGAAAGTGTTACTGGAACCAAGTCTGTTTGACAAGGTTCATTATCTAATATTTTTGGAAGATTTGTAAAAATTAATAAATGGTTGAGTCTTTGTGAAAGGTCAATTCGAATGATGAAACATTCAATCGGATGTGAAATAGGTCTACCATAAATTGTACTATGTGGAATATAAGAATGAACAGGATATAAAGGATATTTACTCAATATCAGAGATCGTGTTGTGGCAAGTTGATATTGGTATGTAGTATTTTTTGTTTCAAATTTCTCTGGAAGATTACATAAACATAATATTTGAGGAGATGTATAACTTAAAATTTCTTTTAAATCACTTGAAGGGTCTTCTGATAAGTCAATTGTGTCAATAGTAAATGTGCTTGATTTAGTAGTCCCAAAGAGAAAAGCTTTGAGCATTAAAATTAATGAGTTTAGTTGAAATTTTTCTATCAACTTCAATTAGTATGTCAAAAGAAATATGAAGTAAAAACAAAAAATTTAAAATTACGCAGAAAATCTTGTAAATCATTTTTAGATTGTGAGAGAAAGCGGTTTTATAAAAATATCATCATTTCTAAATCTGCAGATAAGGAAATAGAGATTCCACGTGTATTTTTTGAAATTTGAGATTAAAGGAAATGGATTGATTTTGTGAGAAATAGAAAAGTCTGCTAGATTTAAAATCCAAAAAGTAAAAAAATAAGAAATAATTAGAAAATCAACAAGAAATAGACTCTGCATTGTAAAACAAAACTTTAAATTCATACTGAACGAAGTTTAGTAATGAGGAGTTCCATGACTCTTGCAGATACAAAGAAAGAGAAACGAACAACAATGAGTTTCAGATTAACTGATGCATTTAATAAAAAGCCACAACCATTGAAACATTCAGAAACTATGATAAAAAATCAAGCACCTCAAAAACATGAAAGAAGAGGAGTTTTCTTTGAAGTTGAAAAGACAGTAGTATTTGGGACTCCATTAGAAAAATTAAAGGAGTGCCAGTGTGGTTTTAAAGGAGTGCCATTAGTAATTGAAGATTGTTGTCATCACATTCGAGATTGTATTATATCAAATAGAAAATTCATTAATAAATGGGATAACAAACAATTGAATAAATTTTTAGTACAACATGGTGGGAAAGAAATAAAAAATCTTACAGGACAAGAAATAATGACAGTAAGTTATGAAGATTTAAAAAAAATGGGATTGAGTGAAGAAGAAATTAAGAAAACACTAAATATTATTCAAGAAGAAAAGAAAAATGTTATTTCTTTTGATGATATTCTTAATAATAAATTTAGTTGTTGTGAAATAAAACAAATGTATGAATTAATAAAAAAATATGACGAAGGAAAACATGTTAATTTATATGAATGTTCTACAGTTAAAATTAGTATGTTATTATTGAGAACATATTTTATTATGTTAGAACCATCACTATTTAATGAAGATTTATGCAAAAAGATTGATTCAATTTTCACTCAATCAAATAATTCTGATGGGAAAAAACATATTTATGAACTTCAACAACAATTAATAGATTATATTAAAGAAAGTATTTCACCAACTGCATTTAATGTCTTTAGTTTAATGAATAATTTCTTTTTGACAATAGGAAATAATCCTAAAAGTTTGGTATTAAATGAATTTAATGAAATAGTGATTTATTTCTTTGAAAGTTTTAATCCACGGCATGAGTTTGATCAAGGATATCTTGAACTTATTCCTATATTATTAGGTTTATGTAATGACGATCAAATTAATTTATTACCTCCATATCGTATTGAAACATTAGACCGTTATGACGGTGAGTTCGTTCAATTTAGTGTAAAAAATGTTATTTGTCCATATTTTTTCTTTCCATTAACAACATTTAATGAATATAATACAGCTGGTTGGTTTAAAGGCATATTATATATTACCAATTATAGAATGTTATTAGATTGTGATGATACATCAATGCTATATGATGTTTGTTTTACTCAAGTTCCATTAAATAATATTGGTTTTTATAAAATCAGTAAAGAATATATTGAAGGGAAAGTATATTCAGCATTAAGAATTATAGCTACTGACTTTAGACATTTAACTTTTTTTTGTGAAAATAGATATAGTGAAGAACTATTACATTGTCTTGAAGAACATATCATGTTTTTCAATTTTAGTTATGAACAAAGTAAATTTAATACATTAGGAATTAAAAGTAAAACAACAAAACAATTAATAACAGAAGAAAATAAAAGACAGAATTGTGGAATAGTCCCAAAAGAATATATTCATATTTGGAAAAACCCAAATAGTAAAGTTGAATTAAACATTTGTCAAACAGGAATGACAACAAATAATAATTATATTCAAGTTAATGGACCAGATATTCCTTTTGCTTCTTTAATTGAATTAATTAATAATAATATCGGTACTCCAATATCTGATGATATTTTTAATAAAATGACACAATTTGCTTATCAAACATTAGAACCTGCAAAAGAAATTGCAAAAAAGTTATTAACTCAAAGTGTATTAGTGTCATCAAATGGAATAGGAGAAATAAAAGCATTATTAGCTATTTCTATAATATCATTAGATTCTTATTACTTATCATTAGATGGATTTATGGTAATGTACCGTACATTTTTTAAGTTTACTGATACTTATCAAAGAATGGTATTTTTATGGATGATTTGGTTAATAATGAACCAACACCCACAAGTTTTTGGATTTAATTATAACTTAGTTAAAACATTATTCTACCACATTACTGCATTACGATTTAATGATGACTTATTACATCAGTTTGTGTTAAATAATCGACAATATTTTGCTACAATTGGTAAAGTAAAATTTGCAATATTAAATGATATTATCCCTCGTCCATCAGAATTATTTTTCCAACATCCTAGTATCCAACAATTACCTAAAATGAATCAACAAATTGTTATTATGAAAAACACTAGTGCATCTACATTACTTCCTTTTACACCAACAACTATTCAAACATTAGAAGTAGAAAATAATAAATTTTTTGATATTCCAATGAAAGTATTATCTTTTAGTAAATTAAATACTTTAAAAATGTCTAATAATAAGATTTATGTCCTTAGTGATGGAATTAGTTCATTTCATAACTTAACATATCTTGATGTATCAAATAATAACATCAAATGGTTTCCACTACTTGGAGTAATCAAACTTAAATATCTTGATATTTCTAATAATCCAATTACAACTATTTCATTTCTTCCTACTACATTAACTACACTCAATATGAGAGGATTATGTAGAATGCCTGATTTGACTCAACACTCTTTGATTACATTAGACTGTTCTGGAACATCATCTATTTCATCAAAAACTTTGTTTCATAATCTTCCTAAAACTCTTAAAGAATTGGATATATCTAGTAGAGGTATGTTGTCATTACCAATTAAAGTATCTAAATTAACTTCATTAACTAAATTAAACTTATCTAATAACAATTTAACTGTATTTCATCCAAGTTTCTTTGAATTAGGAATTAAAGAATTAAATATAGAACATAATCATATCAAAATGTTACCACCAACTTTTAAAAAGATGCCTATTGAAAAAATTATTAAAGATGATTTCTCTTATGAAAGAAAGGTAATTGAAAAAAGAGTTGTTTTAATTGACAATTCAACAGAAATATTTAATTCACTTATTCGACAAAGTAAACATATCAATTGGAATATTAAAGAAGAACCAAAGTCGGCAAAGTTAATAATAAAAAATAACATTGTTATTGATTTAAAGGTATTAGACCAAGAAAGTATTGAATCACAACCATATTTTGGAATTGATGCTCTTTACATTATTCATATAAGAGAATCTATTCCATTCAGAATAATTGATTTGTGCCAATTTACTTCATCACGTAATTATATTGTAATTTCTGATAAACCAATTGAAGATATGACAACTATTGTTTATGATGGAACCCCACAAACTTTAAAATCTATTTGTAGAACATTAAGAAAATGTATTGAAGACTTTGGAAAAGATGAAATATCCTCTAACTGTTATGAAATCTTAAAAACATTACAATGTTATGACTTATCTCCTGCAGTAATGACAACAGCATTATATCAAGAAATCATTTCTTCATTAGAAATGAAAGAAAATGATATTAATAAAGCTGTACATCAATTAGTTGAGAGAAGGCTATTACACAGAAGTTGTCTTCCTTCAACTACACCAAGAAATAAACGAGGGTTGCGTCCTTCTGTTATTGAGGTAAGAACCAATTATTCAACTTATTATTCTGAAGATTTTGGATATGTTTTAGTTGATACTCTAAATATTTCACATATTGCTGCATCACTACTTATTCAAACAACAGGTATTTTTACTGCTCGAGCATTACAAAGTTGTAAAATGAATGGAATGAAAAATAACATGCAACTCAATTATATTATTAGTGTTCTTGAAGAATATTCAATTGTTTTAAAAGTACGATTAGACTTAGCAAAGAATATAGGATGTGAAAATGAATATCCTTTATTACTAGAACAAGCCAAACAAGCTACTCTAGTGTCTCAAGATGTTTGTTCTATTGGAAATGATATTATCTTATTGTCGTTAGTTGGAGTTCCTTATGTTGGAAATTGGGAAGAACAAAATGACACAATAATTAGTTCACGACAATACATATTTAACAAATTTCCTTTACAACTTCAACAATGCTTCATAGTCAGCTGTGCATTATATTTTGGAATGCCATATAGCTTATGGAGAAGTGGAGTTATTTTTAAAAAAGAAATCAGAAATGAAGTTATTGATGTACTAATTAAATTTTCCACATCATCATTTGAGGTACATACACGATATCATTTGAGTTCACTCCAAATGGCTGTAGACAATGGAAATATACATCATTCTTTAGAAAAATTCTTAGACCAACTAATATCTATTTATTTTTTGAATGTAAAATTTTCAGTGTCATTATTGTGTCCTCATTGTCTCAGTCATTCTATTAAAAAAGAGGATATAACAAATTCTTTTTTAATTCATGAAGAGGAACATTCTTATAATATTCCATTAATTGCAATGGATTACTTCTTCTCCATCCTTCCTCATTCTCTTTCTTCTCCAACTTTAATTAAAGAAATAACTAGAGGGTCATCATCAATCATTTATTTATGTGCTGGAGGGGTTGTACTTAAACAGATTAATTCTGACTTCAAATCTTTGAAAAGAAATGATGCTATTCATGACTTTAATTGTAGAATTCATGAATTTTATAATGAAGTTATATTTAGTCAATACTGTTTTGAAAATGTAGGAAGAATATTGGGCTATGTTACAGAACCATTTGGAATTGAAATGGAATATTATGATGGAGGGTCTTTGTTTGACCTTATTGGAAACCTTACTCAACCAATTCCAGTTCATAGTATTTTAGTTGACATTGCCAATGGAATGAAAAATATTCACCAAATAAATAAATTACATAGAGACTTAAAGAGCTTAAACATCTTATTAAAGAAACAAACACCAACTAAGTTCCAAGCCTTTGTATGTGATTTTGGTGAAAGTACAATTGAAGGAGAACAACAAAGTCAAATTGAATGTCCATTTTGGTTAGCACCAGAAATCTTTAAAGGTGAACAATGGACAAAGGCTTCTGATGTGTATTCGTATGGTGTTATTATATGGGAGGTAATTACTCGACAACGACCTTATGAAGGTAAGTTTTTTAATGAAGTTAAAGAATCAATCATAAAAGGAGAAAGATTAGAAATACCTAAAAATTGTCGATATGAAGACTTAATGAAGAAATGTTGGTTAGAAAACACAGAGCAACGACCTTCATTTGAAGACATTTTAAACATACTAAAACAACTGTAATTGAACGAATCATTTTAAATTAAAATTGTAAATTATTTGTATTAATCTAATGAATGAAGTACTTTAATTACTTCATTATTATTTTGAGTATAAAAATTATAGTTATGAGAACATCCACGAATTAACAGATTTATACAGGTATATACTATTCTTAATTTACCTTCTATTCTAATAAGTCTTTTGTCATTATCCATAAAAGTCGGTATATCATTTATTCTCATTAACTCTTGTTTAATTAATACAATTATAGGAATAAATGGTGGTTCTGTATGTAGAATAAGATCTTTATAAACGTTATGATGTGTTGTAAGATCAAATAATTTATTAAGTGTTTTGAATGTATCATTTTTTTCAATAACTTTGATATATTTTTCCCTTTTCTTTTCCTTTATCCAACTATAACTTTTTAATCCACAGTAAATAGAATACGCACAATCATAGTTCTTTAAATTAAGAAATGTGTCAGCATATTTTAACATTTTTTGATAATCTTGCTTTTTTATTAATATATTCTTTACCCATTTATTAAAATTACTACTTAAATTTTCTAATTCATTTTCTGTTGTTTCTATTATTTCAGTTATTGTTAATTTTTTTAATTTATCATACATAAGTGAAGTAATTTGTTCTTCAAAAGAATGTGCAATATGATTATACTCATCAACTGTTTCAACCGTACTCTTTAATGAAATGTCAATTTGGCTAATCTCATTAGGAGATAATGCGTGTTGCCAAAACTTAATAAATTCAAAACAAACTGTTTCATATATACTTTTTAAATGCGTCAATTTTAAATAATTGTTATCACAAATAAAATGAAGTACAGTCTCTGGTGTAGTAAAATAAGGTAATGTTATCATGTAAAATCTAACATATCCAAAGTCAATTGCATCTTTACTAAATAACAATGCTGATAATTTTTCAATATTCAAGCATAATGCAATTCTAATATTTGAATCAATAATATCATAAACACCTGTCTTATCAGTTCCTCTTAAAACATAATCTTCATATCGAATCGCAATTTGAATGAGACGATAACCAAGTTTATTAGGAATACCAATAGTATTTTCATCAGAAACTAAAAACCCAGAAAATACTACTGCCATTTCTTTTGACATTTGACAGATATGACTAAATAATCTAAACAATTGTTTCAATGGCTTTGCTAAGTTTAATACAATACTTTGTAATAAGTGAATGTCATCATAACTAAATCCTGTTTTATTAAATTCTACTACTTGAAAAAGTTTGAATACTGATGAACTTGTCATAACTAACAATAATAAAGATAATGCTATTCGTTGATAAGAAGGTAAATCTTCACAAACAACTGTTTGGAATTTGTTTGCCGTTAATAAAGTAAAATTTTCTTTAAGTTGATTATGGTTGTCCAATGCGTCTAACACATCTTTATACGAAACTGTCCCAACCGTATTTAATATTGAACAACATAATGGAACAGTGAAATCATATGTTGGAATTATTCCACTACCAACCATCATTTGTTGTAATTCCTGTGAACATCTCTTTGATACTTTTCTGTGAGACTTAGCAAGGACATGGTAAAATGGAATGTTTCTTTCAATACATGAACCAACTTCAGTATTAATAGAGTCAAAATCTTCTATAGTCTCAAATTCATTTGCACAACTAATAGAACTAGATGTTGAATCTTTTAATGAATTTCTTTCATTAGAAATATTGAATGCACGAAATGAAATAAATTCAGTTGTAATTTTATCAGGGATAATAACTCCTTTAACTGATACAACATTTGGAATTAAAAAGGAGTATTTTTTAGATGAATTCGTTGGAACGCGAATGGTTTGTCGCATAAGAAAGCTTAAGAAAATAATATCTAAAATGACTTTTAAGTTCAAAACAAAAAATTCCTTTTTACAACTTTTTTGTTGTTATAGAATTAGAAGAGAATTGACTTATCTAACAAAAATTTGACTCATGTCGTCCCATTTAAACTAAAAACCAATGGCTAAGTCAAATCAACATATGTTAATCTTTATTTGTATTAGTTATATCATCTTCAACCATTTGAATTTGTTTAAGAGCATTGTTTTCTTGTCGAATATCATCTCTAACATCATCTAGCCTTTCTACTAAGTCTTCAGATGTATTTAATCCTTTTATTGTTTCATTAATATCTTTTTGAGTAATACAAAGTAATGACAAAATTGATAACAATGTTCTAATTTCTGTTTTTAAAGCTACATTTTCTAACATATATGCTTCTGTCCCAATAGACGTATATTCTTTTGGAAAAGAAAGTGCTTGTAATTCACTTCCCATTACATCACATAATTCAAGATAAATTTTACGAGATTTTTTGTAAATACTAATCAATAAATACCTTTTCTTTTTATCTTTTTATATAAAGAAACATTTCTTTTCACCTAAAAAATGACAAACTCAACCATAACACTCTGTATTTCAACAGCAAGATCTTGTTTTACCATTCTTAAGACTTGATTTTCTTGTTGGACAATATGAGAATCAAGACTTTGTGTTAAATACGTTAAAAGTGATGAAAGTTGTTCCTCAAAAATCACGTCATCTTGAATTGTTGGATCAAATTTATCAAAGTGTTTGTATTGAGAACTAAAAAAATAAGAATTTGTTGTGTTTTCTTCAGGACTTGTTGTCTCTTCTTTTACATTTAAGTTGTCAAAAAATCTCGAAACAGCGTCATGAGATGTTTTTGTAGTGTTTTGAAGAAAACCTTTCATTTTATTACAATAAAGATTAAAATTAAAAAAGGAAAAATTATTGATAAAAAACTGAAAAAAGAAGTTAGAAGATTGAAAAGATTGAAAATAGAATCATAAAGAACTAAAAATTAAATAATTTCTAAGATTAAAAAACGAATAAAAAGAAAAAGAATAAAAGTAACATTTATTTTTATGACATTCACAAAGTAGTTAAACCTTTCATTTTCATTCAGTATTTTTCTTATTACTTTAATAAAAATTATTCTTTTTATTTTATAAGACTAAACTTATAATAATAATCTTGAGTATTTAATATGTGAGTTTTATTTCATTTTTATTAGAATATTCAAAAGAAAGATGAAAGGGAAATAAAACCTCTAAATATTTGCAAAAACCATGAGTAAGTAATCAAGAAGAAAAATAGTATCATTATATGAGCTAGAAACACTCTTCAATATAATGAAAGTCCAAATTGAAAAACATATGAAAAATGAAAAATGTTATAGCTCTAATTTGTGAAAAAAGATTGAAGGAAAAAGAAAGTGCAAGTCTTCTAAATGAAAATCCAGGAGACAGAGTTAGAAGAATAAAAGGAATTTATGATAGAAAAGAAGATCTGATTAAAAGAAATAAAATTATCAAATACCAACTCAAAGACAAGGTTTTGGTGTTAGAGGCAATGAAAAAAGGAACACTCAATATTTGAGGAGACTATGCCAAATAACTATAACTTCTTGTCAAAACAAATGGATATTATTATTGTAAAAGTTGTTGAAACAGAAAAGTAGAGAATTAATAAATTGATCAGTGAAAGTCCTTACAGAAAGTGTAGTAAGTATTAAGGAGATTTAAAAAAACAATAAGAGAATGAGAGTAGAAATACTGAAATAAATTTTATTTTATTAAACCAAGCAAAACGAGATCGAAGGTGGCACGTCTGAAACACC